GCCGCGCGGTGCAGCCACGATGGAAGGGGGTGCGTACGGAGCTGGCAAAGCCGGGGGCGCCTTCGACCCCCATACCCTGGTCCGACAGCCACACACTATCTTGCGTGTCGTGTCTTGGGTAAGCTCGGGCCGGCGGCCATGGTGGGGTGTGGGCGAGAGCGGCGCGCCCCAACACCGGGACACCCTGTCACCCTGACACCCCGACCTCAAGGGCGAAGCAGCCGGAGGGGAGGTGCCCTGTCCGCGGACCTGCGTGGGCCGCTCTTCTTTCCTGGACCCCAGCGAAGAGGGCCGGCTCCCAGACACCCCGTTTCCCGGGAGAACCCCCATTCGCGCGTCCCCCACCTCCATCGCCGTGACCTCCAGGCGGCGACTGTGCAGCTAACGGCTCCGGTCGCGCGCGGCTGTGGGGACATAGCCCAGGTTCAGGTGGCGGGGGCCTGATCAGGGCGTGGATCACCTCACGCCGCGGACTATCTGGTCTGTGTGGTTGAGCCCAAAGGTGGCAGAGAGGTGCAGGAGCCGGCGACCTGGCTTCCTCGGGAGCTGCATCTCCTGCGTCGCGTGACCTTGGTCTGGGAACCACCCAAGAAATGTTCTCGGGGAGCGAATAATTCCTTTCTGAGGTGGAGAGCGCCACCTCTTCTGTCGTGCCTCAGTTTCCTGACATATAGGGTGGGAGGAGCCTCCCGAGGCCCCCCTCCGACATTTCCTGAATCCGGAACAACCCTTCCCCCAGCAGGGATCTGGATGGCTGTGGGCCGGTGTTGGGGAGGCAAAGCACAGAGGCCCTCAAGGCACTGTCAGGATCTGCAGGATGCCCAGTGCATCCAGTGCGAGCCTGGTCCGCGGCTGGGACAGAGTGAGCAGAGAGGAAGGGGCCAGCATCTGGGAAAGAAAGCCTGCTGGGCTGGGGCTCCCTGGGGTTGGCTGGTGAATCCTGTCTCTGAAGGCTTGGGCAGTTCCTGGTGGGCCTGCGGCGGAAGGGTCTGGACTGGGACACTGGGCACAGACACTGTCAGGAAGCCTAGGAAGCTACACCTGCAGCCAGCTTGGTGGCTGGATGGCACAGCTTTCGGTGTGCTTTTTGTACTGTTTTTCAGCACTGGGGATTCAACTCAGGGCCTTCCCTAGACTTTTTTGTTTTTTATTTTCTATTTTAAGACAGGTTCTTGCTAAGATGTTAAGTTGCTCGGGATGGGTTTAAACTTTCTATCCTCCTGCCTCAGCCTGCCAGAGTGATTGGATCCACCAGGCAAGCTTGAGTATTTACCTCCCAGAGCAGAAAGAAACTAATCTTTCTTTTCTTTTTTTCATTTTTTTTCCTGGGGGGGGTGTCTTTCTGTTGTTGTTTTGTGTTTTGAGACAGGGTCTCACTGTGTAGTATAGGCTGGCCTTGAACTCAGCAATCCTCCTGCCTCAGCATGCCCCCACCCCCAGTGCTGGGATTACAGACATGTACTACCATGCCTGCCACCATGCCTGGCTTGAGTTACACTTTCTTTGTCTAAAAAAGTTAGATTCCCCTCCTGGGGCTGCAGGAAGGGTTACCAGGTTTAAATGCCCACCAGATGGGCAGTGCTTTGAGGGCAGAAAAGCCTGGTTTTGTTGGTGTCTGTGTCTCTGCATCCCAGGCACATGCATGAGGGCTTGTGGCCCCAAATGTGTTTATCTGTGACAGTTTCCAGCTCCTAGAGTCCCTGGAGCACCAGTTAGGGGACCTAGCTGTGTAACTGCTCAGATTTGCCAGCCTGGAGCCTCCAACCTGGGAGGGTGAAGGCACTGGGTTGTGTGAAGGCGTAGGTGTTGTCTGCCTGGGTCACTGGTGCCTGTGACGGCTTCATTTGGCAGAGCTTTATTGAGTCTGCCAGGCCCTGAGGGAAGGTGGCATGACTCAGGCACTCCCTGCTGCTCAGGGAGCCAGGTGCCCCTAAGCAGAGGCCATGAGAGTCAGGACAATTCTCCCTGCCTGGAATGGGAGAAGCTGTGTGGAGCAGGGGGAGTCCTTTTAGGCCTGGCAGGATGGGAGGCTATGCTTGTGCACATCAGGGTGAATGGAGGACATGGCAAGCAGGGAACAGAGTGCACAGACCCCACTTAGGTCCCCAAACTTACAGTAAAGGAACCGAGGCTTCCCGAGGCCAAACAACTGGTTGTGGGTAAATGAGCATAAAAGTGTCACACAAGCATTAGAACCCAGGACTCCTGTCCCCAAAGCAGGGAGAGTTCCAAATCCTGAGATTTCATGATTAGAAAAGACAGAAGGGCTGTTGAGCTGGCCCCAGCCAATGCCCGTGTCCCCGTCCCTCCCAGCCCTGCCCACACCTGCATGCCACTGCCCTTGGCCTTGGTCTGGACAGAGACACCCAATGCAGACTCCCTGACACCTTAGGAAACAGATGAAAACATATAAGCTTTTCACAAAATTTCATTAAAGCAATACCTGCTGATTACTGGAAAATATAAAAATCACATGTAGTACTCGTCTGACAACATGAACCTGCTTAATTCCACCGAGCTATGCCCTTCAAACTGGTGATGGGGCTGGGAGTGAGGCAAACAAACCAGAAAGGTAAAATTCATGTTATATGTATTTTATCATAACGGAGAAAATTGGGGATGGATCACAGGTGATACCATCAGCTAGGGAAGGCTGCAGTTAATACAGTACTATGTCTCTTCAGGTCTTGTTTAAACATTTGGAGCTCGCATGGTGGTACATGCACATAATCCCAGAACTCTGGCAGGCTGGAGCAGGAGGATCAAAAGTTTGAGCCCAAGGACCAGGGATTTAGCTCAGTGGCACTGTGCCTGCCTGGCAAGTGCAAGGTCCTGAGTTTGATCCCTGGTACTGCAAAACAACAACAACAGCAACAAAACCCCAACAAAGCAAAACAGAACAAAAACAGTTTGAGCCCAATCTGGACAACTCAGTAACTTAGTGAGACCCTGTCCCCCAAAATTTAAAAATGCTGAGGTTGTCATTCAGTGCAAAAGCTCTGGGTCCATTCACCAGTACCACACACACATACACACACACACATACACACACACTCACACACTCAATGAGCTTCATGAAGCCTGAACTCCAGGTGTAGGGTGACTAATTCACCGTGGTTTGCTGGAACTTTCCTGGCTTTAGCACTGAAAGTCCTGTATGAGCCCCTCAATCCTGGACACATTGGGATTGGTATCCTCTCTGGGCCCTGGAGGGATCCCAGCGATATGTGCACATGAACTTGTGACTTTGTAAGATTTTTACAAAAAAGATCTTTTTCTGTTTTTCAAAAAGCTGCGTGGTCTAACTAGACCTGGACCCCCTAACTCCAGGCCCTGAGCCCCAGAGCCCATTGGCCTGGCTGGCAGAAGCAGGGCCTCCCAGGCCCAGTTTGTCCTTTGACTGAGGCCATGCCAGCTCTGTGTCACTGCTTCCCTGGCTGAACTGGCTGCTGTGACCCATGTTTTGGGGGTAGATGAGGCAATGTTGGCTGGGGGCTGGGAGATTGGCCTCCACTCCTGCCTCTGTCTCCAGGCAGCAGCTGTGACCTTCAGCTAGTGTCACCTCCTCACCCCTGTTCCTTGGTCTCCCCGTCCGAACCAGGAGGCTGGCTGTTGACCCACTACACGACTGTGACCTGTTGGTAGTGATTCACTTGACCTGGAGCCAGAGGGGCTGATGAAGTTACAGAAGAGTGCACTGATTGAATGTAAAGGACCGCCTTTTATTTGGGGTTTCTGTTCTCCTTTTGTGGACTGATGACCTTTGGGGAAAGAGTAGCAGTGCTGGTTGATAAGAGGGTTTTCAAAAATCCATGTTGGGGCTGGGGATTTAGCTCAGTAGTTCCACCACCTGCCTTGCGAACATAAGGTCCTGAGTTCGATCCCCGGTACCCACTCCAAAAAAATCAATTTTGGCAAAATAAAATGATGAAATATTAGAAATTTTGTCACTGTTAGTTTTTTTTTTTTGTTTTTTTTTTTAAGACAAGATCTCACTATATAGTTGAGACTAACCTGGAACTCACTATGTAGCCCAGGCTGCTGATCTCAAACTCATAGCAATCCTACCTCAGCCTCCCAAGTGCTGGGATACAGGCGTCCGCCACCATGCCCAGCTTACTAACTGTTAGGATTTACTATTATTTTCTCTTTATTACTGTGGTGCTGAGGCCTTGCACATGTTAAGTACCCACTCGGCACTGAGCTGCATTCCCAATCTCCTGGGTTGGTCTCTTAAGGGTTCTGTGAAGGGGGCATGAATCCTTGCCCTCATCTTACAGATGACAGAAGCAAGGCTCAGCCTGGAGAGGTAGCTGCTACCAGCCCAAGGCCTGAGACTGTCAGTTCCTTATGGAACCTTGTCTGCCAGGCTCCTGTGTCCACCTTGTAGAGCTTGACAGGGCCCTGGGCAGGTGTCCTGGCCAAAGGCCTGTAGTTGTCCCATTTGGCATTTGTCACTGACCATCTCAAACTCAGGCCTTTGCACTTGCAAGGCAGACGGCAAAACCACTGAGCTAAATCCCCGGCCCTATCACTGACCATCTTGGAACCTTCTGGCCTCCCTGCCTGCGGGAGCCATCTGTCCACTCTTCCCTCTTGCCTGGGACAGGGTCAGCTGCCAAGAGGCCTGCAGGAGGTGTTGGCCTGTGAGTTTCAGGAAGGTGTCTTGGGCATTTCCGCAGGTGAGGGGCAGCAGGGGGCTTGGGGAGCATGAGAGAGCCTGGGATTTAGCATCAAAAGCAAGACCTTTGTGGAGGAACTTGGAAACCCCTCCCAGCCTCAGTTTCCTCATCTGTGACATGGGGTTGGATGCCTGGCTGGCAGTGGCCAAGTCTTTGTCACAGGTTCTGTGGTCCCCACTCTAGCTGGAAGTTGAGGCTCAGGAGGCTGGCAAGTGTCTAGGACTGCTGGTGCTGTGGCCGCTGCCTGAGGAAGGAAGTCCCCAGATATATGGGGAGGCTGCATGACCTGCTGAGCAGAGCTCTAGGCCAGCCTGAGCCTGGGAGAGAAAGAAAGACTGGGGGCGGGGGCAGGAGAGGAGGAGAAGCCCGGAGGAGGGGCGAGAGGGAGGGAGAGGCAGATGGCAGGGCGGTTGGAGGACTCAGGCTTGGCATCCAG